TTGATACCAAGATTGTAAGGACAGAGTTTGTAATTGCAGAGAAATAATCAATTAAATTTGGGCATTACATTTTCGAGCAGGAAGCTCAGAAACCCCCATATTAAGAGGTTAATATGCTGCTGAGAATATACCCCAGAAGAAGTGTATAGTATAGCTTTTATTTTGGAAAGAGCCATTTCTCTGTAATAAACTCTCTTTTCCAAAGAAGAGTGATTCCTCAATCAGATATGAATTTTTTTTACTTTGTTGTTTCAGCAACATTAAATTTAAAAACTGTACTTTTGAGTTAAAATATATATTTATAATTTTAATAAATGACAAATTAAAAAAGCATGAACATTTTTTTTGTATCGAAAAAATATCGAACCGAACCGAACCGTGAATTTTGTGTATCGTTGCACCCCTACTATCTTTGTATGCAACATATTGATATTTTATCATTCTTCTCATGTTTGTGTGCAAGAAAGCAAATAAGCGCATTTCAAAAACATAATACCACCCCTTATGCAGGAGTTTACAAAAATCATAATTTGCACCAATGAAAGCTGTTAGATCAGTGTATTTAAAATCTAAAAATAAAATTTCAAAGGAGCTTTCGTAAAGTTTCAGCATGCCAATATATCAGAAATTTTTGTAAGTTTGAACACTGATATTGGCTGATACAATAAAGGGACGGTACAAACTGTGGTATGACTTACGACTTTCTGCAGTTGCATGCATTCATTAATCCACACAGAAATCACAGAATAAAATAGGTAATATTTCTTCTTTCTTTTTTTTTTGAAGCTGAATGCAATCCAGTGGTATTTGTCACTGTATATAGACTGTTAATGTATAACTGAAGACATAAGATAACAAAGCACAATATATAAATAAAACAGGGTAAAAAAAACACCTAAAAGGTGTGAGCCGAAGTAAAATGGTAAAGATAGCGCTTTAAGTTTAAAAGTATTAACATTCTCTGCTGTCCTCAGGTCTTCCATTAGAATTTTTTTTTTTTTTTTTTACAGATATGGACCTCAGTAACAGAAATAGGTTCATCTTTGCCTCAAATGCATCTTGTGGCAGAACCATTTTCCCAAGCTGGATTGTAAAAGGATTCAGTGGCTCATTTCAGCGTGGAAACAGCATTAATCAGATGAGTGTTTGCGTTCTCAGATTAAATATAGCTGCCAACACCATGTATTCTGAGCCACTTGCTATCAGTGCCCTGATGGTGCGGAGAATGAGATTAGGAAAAGTGCGATGGAGAGCTGAAATAGCTGGAAGATGGCCCAGCAGAGAAGAAGCCAGCCGGTGTGACAGCGCCATCAGGTCCTGCTGTACGGCAATCTGTCAACCCAGCAGCTGTCAACTCAGCACAATGGAGGCCACAAACATACAGTTTATATTCATGGCTTTCCATTCATGGCTCCGGATCCATCACCATACATTAGCCACTACGTGACAACTCTACAGCAGTCCCAGTGTTCTCCCAGCTGTCTGCTGCAGATTGAAGAAGAGTGTATAAGCGTGGTGGGGAGAGTGAATGTGTGCTGGCCCAAAAAGAGGCCACAGCCAAAGTAAGCCATTCTCCTTCATATTGTGCTGATCATATTGGTGATGATGCTACTGATGCTACTCAGGTACCTTAGCTCAAGCAATAAAATAATAGTTTGAACTCATCGAGCTGAAGTGCTTAATGACATACATTACTGTGCAAAAGTCTTGACCCACCTTATATTTCTTTATATTTTGCTACCAAGGAGCAGGTCTTTTTTTGAAATTGCATTTGAGCCCATAAACAGGAAACAGAAAAAAGTATGAGGATTTGACTGGATAACTTCTCACAACTGTACATACTATGTAATTCCATTTATGTTTGCATGTTTCAATAAATTGTTTAACCTATTTCCAATTTTTCTAGTAAAATATAAAGAAATGAAAAACCTGCAGACCCTCTGCTTC